CGAGGGCGCACAGCGGCACGCTGTCCGGATCCATGTAGTAGACGGTCGTCCCTGGGCGAGCGGAGTAGTACGCAAGCATGCGGTAGAACTGCACGCTCGGCCCCGAGCTCCAGGCGACCTCAGAGCCCGCCGTGTCGCGCGTGTAGCGGTCCTGCGCCTCGGTCAGGTTTCCGCCGAGCAGAGACACGGAGCCGAAGCAGCGCCTCCACGGCTTGGACGAGGCGCCCTGGAGGAACGCCTCGAGGGACGGCCAGGCCGGCGTGCCTCGGAGCTCGCGGATGCTCTTCGAGTAGTAGAGCACCAGCGGCGGGGCGGGCGCAAACCCAGCGCCGACCGCAGCGCACGGAGCCACCACCTCCCATCGAGCGAACGAGCCGATCAGCTTTGACGCGTCGTGCGTGGCGAAGGGGCGGACGATGGCGAGTGCAGCTGGCGGTGAAAATGGCGGCGGTGCTGGCAGCGGCGGTGGTGGCGACGTTGGCGAGGGTGGTCCCCACTCGTCGTCCTCCTTGTCGTCCTCCTCCTCCCCGTCTGGCGGTGGGGCCGGTGGCGGTCAGGTGTGTCATGCGAGAGCGAAGGGAAGTCGGGGGCATGGCGGCGGAAGCGAGGGTGGGCAGTGTGAGGGGCGTGGAGGGTGGGAATACCGTCGCCCGGCGAGGTCGCCAGCGGCACAGCCTGCCCGGCTGGGATGGCCGACGGGGCGTGCGGAACCAGAAGGGGATTGCCCGACATTGGCGGTAGTGACGGCCACTCTTGTGGCTGTTGCTGAGCTGGAATCGAAGCGAGCGCGGGAAGTAGTACCAGCAGTCCTGCACGCCACAGGAGTCCAAAAGAAGCGGGCGCTCGACGAAAGGCGAATGGCGTGACCGCCACGGCGCAGAGCCTGACCAGAGCACCAACTGCGAGCCCGGTGGCCGCCGTCGTCGGCATGTGCATGGGAGAACGCCGGTTTTCGAACGGCGGTTTCCTTGCAGAAAGAATTCTTCAAAAAAAACATAAGGCGCCGGGAGGAGTTGTGCCCTTGTTTGTGCCCTTGGCACCGTGGAGTGCTGGGGGGGGCGACAGGGAGGATGTGGCCCTGAGTTATGTGTACGCCGACTCAGGGTGTGTGGCAGCCAGCTGGCTGTGTGTCTTGTGAGCTTGTTTGTGTCTGTGTGTCGCTCGTGCGTGTCGTCATCATCTGTCTAGCGTCCACCCATACCGCGTTGGTGTCCAGTCCGAGCCTGGCTGTTCTTCACCTTACTACCTACCTACCTACCTAGGACAGCACGCCGGTTTTTCAGCGCTGATGGTTTTATTTTGTCTGCGAACTCCTCCATCGCCCGTATCATCTACAGGTATCTGCGGCGATAACACGTTACTTTATAGTGCGCCACAAGCACGCCGTTGCGCCTTTTCTTTCATCCCCTGCCTAGACGAGTACAGCTAAAGAGTACCCGGGGCTCCCCATGCGGGAGACCTCCCTGTGGGGGCCCGTGAACATCTTTAGCTTGTGAGCCAGGAAAAGGGTTGCTTTTCTTTATCGACGCCGACTTTTTCGGTTTTCGTTTAGAGGCACCGCCTCCGTAAAAAAAGACAGACCCTCGCCTGAATAAGACACACCGACTTTGACCGTGTGCCATTTCCGAACGGCTTCGAGTTGCGCCCCTTCCGGCTTGATGCCTAACAGAGCTCAGTCAGGTCTCTCACTCATCCAAGGCGGAAGCCGCAACTCGTAGCCGTTCGGGAGTGGCACGTTGTCAAAGTCAGTTGTCTTAGGTTAGAGGTTAGGTAGGAAGGTGAAGAACACGCCAGGCTCGGACTGGACACCAACGCGGTATGGGTGGACGCGAGACAGATGATGACGACACGCACGAGCGACACACAGACACAAACAGGCTCACAAGACACACAGCCAGTTGGCTGCCACACACCCTGAGTTGGCGTACACATAACTCAGGGCCACCGTCCTCCCTGTCCGCTGTCGCCCCCCCCCCCCCAGCCAGCACACACGGTGCCACAAGGGCACAAACAAGGGCACAACAGGCGACAGGGAGTAACGTGCGAGGCTAGAGCAGACCGCTCCACCTCCGCCGACCGCAAACGGCAAGGCACGGACAAGACCGTGTGTGGGGTCTTGTGAGTGAGGCGTCTATGGCGACTATGGACCCTCCCTCACCAGGCTAGCGGCCTACTGCTAGCCCTAACTCGCACTCATGGGTGGTGTCCGTTCATTGTATGAGTGTATGCGAGCAGAAGCGCGTTGTCTTCTGGGTGGAAGCTTATTCAAAGAGGCGGTGCCTCACCTCGCGAGCGGGACTCGAACACTCGATCTCCCCTCTGGGGTGGTCCCTCACTCAGCAGCGTGTACCTCGATCCTGTACCGTGTTTGTTATGACCCCCCCCAATGAGCACACCAGCAAGGGAGGGCGAGACGATCGAGGGGTCCCGTACCATGCGGAATCGACCCTATCCAGTGCTCAAGTGCTCACGCACGGAGGAAGTTTCCGCGCAAGAGCGCCAAGCTTTCGCGCCGACCGAGTAGGAGTAGGCACGACTTCCTGGTTGCTGTGGCATGGCCGCTTGGTCCCTGTCCTCCATCGCCGCTCTGCTACTTCTCGCGGCGGCATCGGCCTTCCGCGTTCCCTCACCAAGCGCGCCAGGCCGCCCGGCCGTGCGGGCGCACGCGCCCCGCCTCGTCGCCAGCACGCCGCTGCGCGACGATGACATCATAAACGCGTTGGCGGACGAAAAGTATGCGATGGACATCTCTTCGATCACAACTGGCAGCGAGCTGGAGACGTACATCGGCCAGGGCTCTGGCGTCAACGAGGGCGCCGGCATCGGCAAGCTCGCCGGCTGGGTGAAGAGCGCAGTCGGCCGCTACCTCGCGTGGAAGAACCGGCCCGTGTACGAGGAGCTGTGGAGGATCATCGAGGACGATCTGCTGGGGATGGTGCAGGCGCACGAGCCCAAGCTCGAGCAGCGGCGCACCTGGTTCTCCGAGCCTGGCGCTTCGCCCAGCGCGCACACGTTTGCGACGGCCGATGGCAAGTGCGAAGGCACAGTCGCGGGGTACAAGGGGGGCAAGATCGACTGGATCACGACGTGCAAGTTCTTCTCGAAGGAGCTGGGCTTCGGGAACCTGCGCATCGACGGCTGGGCCAACCGCGAGACCCGCGCGCCGCACGTGGCGGTCCACCTCTGCATCGTCTTCAATGTGCGCCGGCAGAGGGAGGGAGCGAGGAGGCGGGCAGGGAGAGGAGGAGGCACCTCTGCGGCGTCTTCCATCGTGCAGCCTGCAGAGAGACGGAATGCCCTCTGAATCCCCGCCGTCCGGTCGCGGGCCCTTGCTCCGCCTTGGCCCTCGCGCCCTCTCCTCGCCACACCCCCTCCCCACCCCCTCGGCGCGGCGGCAGGTCCTCTTCATCTACATCGGCTGCCCGCCGCGCACCAACCTCGTCCTCGACGACGCGTACAACGACCACGTCTACGGCACGGCGCGCAAGTCGACCGGCCGCTCGCTCAACGACGTCCACGTCGACTGCGTCGAGGACAAGCGCTTCAAGCAGTACGTCTCCAAGTCGCACGTCGTCAACGCCTTCATGGTGACGCCAACCAGCACTTGCCCCCGCACCCGTTCTCGCTGCTGTGAGACGGCGGCACGGCGGCTGTAGGTCGCGCCGACGACGCTGCTCTACACGATCCCCTTCACCAAGAAGACCTTCGCAAAGGTTCGCTCGCTCGCGATGGAGTACATGACCGCCTGGCTCGAGCTGCTCGACGAGACGGAGGGCGTCCTCGTCGACGGCATCGACACGCGCGAGACGCAGACCGAGCTGCTGCAGCTCGACGTGCGGACGCGCCAGTTCTGCGGCCGCGACCCAGACACGAAGAACGTCGCCAACATCTTTGGCCTCGAGAAGACGGACAAGCTCGTGCGCACGCTCTGGGGCGACCCCGACGACCCGATCTGGCAGTCGCGCTGACGCGGCCGCCGGCGACGGGCGCGCGCGCCGTGCTGCGTGTGGGGAAGTGGACGAGCTGCGACTCGAAGCCGCGACGGGGAGCGGCGAGCGGGCTGGTCGTATGTTGGGTCGTTTGTATATATTTTGGTTTGCGCTTCCCACCCCGATCCCCGTCGTGTGCTCAAGTGAACTGGTGCCGCGAGCACAAGAGCTTACAGGGAGGTAGGTAGGTAGGGAACACACCTCCAAACAGAAAAAGAAGTCACGCGACGAATGTGTTGCCAGGGTGGCCCCCTGTCTGGCTCCCTGCTCACGTCGTGATCGGTGTGCGTGCTACTGAATTCGCTACTTTCATACGCCTCGCATGCCGACTGTCTGCACGCGCCGCTCTTGGAGGCGCTCCCACTGGCGCGTGCGGCCGCGCTCAAGCCACCATGGCTTCGCCGAGGCACCAGGGCCGACCGGAAAAGCAACCCACAACGGCACAGCAAGCCGAGCCGTGCCAGCTAGAAAAGGCCCAGAGGCAGCGAGCGTGCCCAGGATGCTCCAGTTTCAGCGCGACCGGGACGCGGCGGGCGGCGGCGTTGTGCTGCGCAGCGTTGCCGACGCCGCGCTGAACGATGCGGCGGCGACGCCCGGCCTGCGGCGAGCAGACGCAAAGGCACATGTCCTGCGTTCCATCGACCGGCTGCTTTCGGACGAGGCGCGGACTGCGGCCCTCGAGTCGGCGGCCGATGCTGCCACCGCGGGTGGGCGCTGCAGCGCTCTCGTGCTCGGCGCCGGCTCGCTCCTGCCGGCGCTGCTGCTCGCTCGGCGCGGCGCGGCCGTCTGCGTCGTCGAGGCGAGCCCTCTCCTCGCCGACGTCGTGCGCGCGGCGGCAGTGGAGAACGGCGTCCGCCTCGCCGTCCTCTCCTCCCTCGCCTCGGCCTCCGCCGCCTACCGCCAGCCCGGCGTCTCGCCGCCAACTCTGCTCGTGTCGGAGGCGGTGGACGACGGCCTTCTCGCCGACGGAGTGCTGCCGTCGCTGAGGGCCGCTCGCGCCCTCCTCGCCAGCAGTCGCGGCGGCGGCGGCGACGCAGTGGCGGTGCTGCCTCGCGCCGCGAGCGTCGAGGCGTCGCTGCTGCAGCTCGGCTTCAGCGGCGTGCCTGGCTTCGGGCTCGACGGCGTCGACATAGACCTGCGCCACTTCGACGCGTTGCGGCCGCGGGGAGTACGGGCGCGGCTGCCGCCCGGCTACTGGCCCGTGAGGCTCAGCGAGTGGAAGCAGCCGCACCGTCGGCTGAGCGACTCTCTCCCTGTCTGCCGGGTCGACTTTGAGCAGGCGACCGCGCCGGGCACGCCGCCCGGCGCGGGCGGCGCGGGCGGTGTCGGAGGGCCCGAGTCCACTGTCCGTGTCGAGGTGGTCGAGGACGGGCTCCTCAACGCCGTCTGCTACTGGTTCACTCTGGACCTCGGCGGCGGCGGCCAAGTCTCGTCTGCGCCGCCGAAGAGGCGAGACCGGCCGGGCTCGTGGCGTGCCGGCTGGAGGCAGGCGGCGGTCTACCTCGAGGAGCCGCTGCACGTGGTGCGGGGCGAGAGCGTGCGGCTTGCTTGGCGCGTGAGCGACGAGGGCATCCGCTTCTCGGCTGCGGGCGTGCGCTCGCAGTTTTATCACGTGCGAATAAAAAACGCCACACGATTTTCACTGTCCGGGGGTATGCTCGGCGAGACGGCCTCCCCCCCTCGTCATTCATTGGACCTTCTATAGGACCCCTTGCAAAAAAAGGCAAGAGGCCAACGAGTTTCAGGAGTTCTCCTTCTTCACCCCGGACGTCGGCTCGGACGCGTACGCCAACTTTGGCGACACCAAGATGAGCATCACCGTCGGGTCGAGCGGCGTCGACTACTCGGACCCGACGAAGCCGGTCTTCAAGGGCGCGGTTGGCTTCGGCGGCCGCGGCCTCTCCATCTGGAAAGCGTCCGACGTGTCGGCGTGGGGCAAGCACGGCGTGCTCTTTTTTCGAGCGGTAGAGGCGTCTTCGCGTGTGGTCGTTCAGCCGCTGCCGAAATCCCCTTTTCCCCTCCCCCTGCCCCCTCGCGACTCGGACGCCTCTCTCTCTCAAGGCGCCCAGCGGCACTGCGCTCGGTCCCGAGTGCTGCCAAACAGGGCGGCACGCCCGCGTGTGTGTCCTCATGGCGGCATCCCTCAGAGAGCCGCCATGACCGTCGCGCTCTGTCTGGTGTGCCCGGGCGACTCAGTCGACGACGATCGGGAAGTGGGCATGGAGGCCCACCTTGGGCTTCTTCTGGCAGGGGCCGGCGACAAAGTCGTCGTCGTCGTCGTCGTCGTTGCGCCACGATGGCCCCATGTTGCGGCACGTGTCCTCCTCCTCCCCGTCCTCCTCCTCCCCCTCCTCCTCCTCCCCCTCCTCGTTCTCGACGATCTCGTCCGCGTGGACGCGGCGCCCGCCCGGGGGCTGCAGTCAAGGGCGGGACAACGGGCGGTGCGTCACAGAACACCGAGAAGAGGGCTGGGGACACGAGGGGAGCAGGTCCGCACCGTGTAACGCGCCGTGGTGATGCAGTCCCAGCACTTCCGCGCCGAGGCCGACTTCTTGTTCCACTGGCCGTCGCTGAAGGCCGTCTTGAGCAGCTTGCGGCCGCAGGCCCCGTTGCACCGGTGAGGCACTAGGGCCCACTTCTTCGCCGTCGCCTCACCTAGGTAAGAGCAATACGCAGCCAATGGTGAGCGCAGAGAGGGAAACGCGGGGCGGGGCGGGGTTGCGGGAGGTTGAGGGGGCGGGCGGGGGCGGGGCTGCGAGCGGTGGAGACGGGGTTTGAGGCGGAGGAGCTGGATGTGGTGCAGAGGTACCTCCATGGCCTGAGGCTCCGCCGCGGCCCTTGCCCTCCTTCGACTTCTCGATCTCCTCCTTGGACACGCCGCGCGCGCGGCGGGCGGCGTCCGACGAGGCGGTTCCTGAGAGGAGGGCCCCACGCAGGCGGTGGGGAGGTGGGGGTTGTGGGGGGGGGGGAGGGCAGGCGATCGAACCGCGGTCGGCCATCGACATCGACATGGTCCCATCCGGCCTCCGGTGCACGCCGCTGGCTTCCGCCCCAGCAGCAGTCACTGCCCGGCCAATCTCCACCGCCGCAATCACGCGTCCAACGAGGCCACCTGCGTCACACGCAGACGGCCTTCCGTCAAGCGCGTGCTCGGGGAGGCTCGTGGCGAGCTCATGCGAGGCGAGCGCCGACGAGGCGGCCGCGTCGGGCTCAGGCTCAGCCAGCGGCGCCGCCGCCGCGGCGCCGACCCAGGAGGTGCGTGGCGCGCCGCCAGCACGCAGGCCCGTCACGGCCTCCTTCCCCCTACCCACCCCTGCCCGCGGGCGCACGCAGGCGCTCGGCGCGGGCGGGCCCGCCGAGGACAGGTCCAGCGAGCCCGACGCCGAGGACAGGTCCAGCGAGCCCGACGCCGACGGGCCCGCCGAGGACAGGTCCAGCGAGCCCGACGCCGACGGCGCGCTTAGCCCTGGCGAGGCGAGCGCCGACGAGGCGGCCGCGTCGGGCTCAGGCTCAGCCAGCGGCGCCGCCGCCGCCGCGGCGCCGACCCAGGAGGTGCGTGGCGCGCCGCCAGCACGCAGGCCCGTCACAGCCTCCTTCCCCCTACCCACCCCTGCCCGCGGGCGCACGCAGGCGCTCGGCGCGGGCGGGCCCGCCGAGGACAGGTCCAGCGAGCCCGACGCCGAGGACAGGTCCAGCGAGCCCGACGCCGACGGCGCGCTTAGCCCTGGCGAGGCGAGCGCCGACGAGGCGGCCGCGTCGGGCTCAGGCTCAGCCAGCGGCGCCGCCGCCGCCGCGGCGCCGACCCAGGAGGTGCGTGGCGCGCCGCCAGCACGCAGGCCCGTCACAGCCTCCTTCCCCCTACCCACCCCTGCCCGCGGGCGCACGCAGGCGCTCGGCGCGGGCGGGCCCGCCGAGGACAGGTCCAGCGAGCCCGACGCCGAGGACAGGTCCAGCGAGCCCGACGCCGACGGCGCGCTTAGCCCTGGCGAGGCGAGCGCCGACGAGGCGGCCGCGTCGGGCTCAGGCTCAGCCAGCGGCGCCGCCGCCGCCGCGGCGCCGACCCAGGAGGTGCGTGGCGCGCCGCCAGCACGCAGGCCCGTCACAGCCTCCTTCCCCCTACCCACCCCTGCCCGCGGGCGCACGCAGGCGCTCGGCGCGGGCGGGCCCGGCGAGGCGTCAAGCTCAGGCGGGCAGTGGCGCGAGCCCAACGCGGTGAGTGCACTCGACGAGCCAGTGCAGTTGAAGGTGCAGACCTCTCGCATCAGGGGCATGCAGTGGAACCTCTGCCACTGCAGCGGCGGGGGCGTCAGCGCTGCGAGCCTTGGGCTCGGCACCTTCGACCCGTCCGCCGCCAACCTTCCAAGGATGGCGCGAGGCTGCCGCCGACGGAATCGGCAGGGGTGGGTGGGGGTGAGGATTTGCGAGGGCAGCTAGGGGGGAGCGGGAGGGGGGTGCGCAGGCGGCGTGCGCGGTGTGCGGGGAGAGCGGCTGAGCGGGGCCGAGAGCGAGAACACCAAAACTCAGGCGGTCGGCCGCAGAGCTGCGGTAGGTAGACATTCTACCTCCCATATCCAACCCACCGAAACCCGTGTGGATGGGTTTTACCGCCTTGCAGCGGCCTCCCGCGGCGCAGCCACACACTGGTGCGACAACACCTCACATCGCTGGAGCTCACGCTGCGGCTCCCCGCGAACGCGAGGGGGCAACGCACGCACGCTGCACTGTTTCGATGGATCAGCCGGGCTCACCCTAAGGTCCCCTTGAAGGTCATATTGGAGTGGCTCGACCACCGCCACAGCCACATCTGCTGGGCGGCGGTGCAAGCCCTCAGCCTGCAGCCCGGCGGGCACTACGGCGCGACCGTGGTGCTGCTGCCCGGGCCGATGAAGAGGCTGCGGCAGCTGGCCGCGTCCGAGCTCGCACCGCTTCGCCACGCCCCGGCGACTCTGCTCCAGCGCATCGCTGACTCGAGGGCGGAGAGGGAGGCTGCGCACCTCCCATCGCGGGAGGGGTGAGGAGAGGTGTGTCGAGGTCACTGAGCGCTACACATGCACATGTCGGTACCCCCGGACGGAAACCCTGATGTTGCCCCGGGCTTACAAACATTAAGCTAAATTGCGTCGCCGGTGCCTGCCGCATGGCTTACACAAGCATTGTGCTAAATTGCCCACCGCTAGCCCCGGGGCTTAAAAACATCGTATCGCGTATTGTCACACATGTGAGAGCAAAAGGTGGCGGCTACGCGCTACGGTGGGGGGGGGGTCGAGCAACGAGCGCTCAATTCCAACCCGCGAGCGCTGACCCATAGGCCTGACAGAGTAATCAAGATCTCTACGAGAGAGAGTAGATCGCAGACAGTAGATCGCAGACCAGGAGTGGAGATCCTAGCCGATTCTACGATCTACCACACAGTCGGGCTTGGTTGAAGATAAAGATTGAGATCACAGATTGTGGATCGTGTTGGCAGTTGCCAGGGTCAAAGGTGGAGATTGGAGATGGAGAACACAGATCGTAGATCCTCGCGCCGGGCATCCACCGCCGGGGCGGAGATTGGAGATCGAGATTGGAGATTGGAGATCGCAGCTGGCGGCGGCAGGGGTCAAATGGGAGATTGGAGATCGGAGATCGGAGATGTGAGCGAGGCGACGGCCTCGAGGTGACCCTCCTCAACGATGGCGACGACAACTTGCACGTCGTAGGGGTCGAGCGTGTTCAAGGGTCAAGGAAGAAAGAGAACTACGCAAGATAGTGCGTATATGTCCTGTAGTTGTATGTTGCTGGGTTCACAGCGATTGTAGGAAAATGACGGGAACACTTGACGGTCGCGGCGGCCTTCCGACTCGCGCCTCCGCCTCACTGGCACTATAGCCCTGGCCGGTGCGCGTGCGAAGTTCAAGTTCCCGAGTAAAAATTCGAGCGCGTTCTCTCACGGTGACCAAAAAAAAAGTCCACCTCAGAGGCACCTCCGGAGGCAGGCCGCCGCACGCCGGCGACACAGCTCCAGCAGTTGAACTGACCCGCAGCTCCTCTCAAAGCGAGTGGCGCTGCTGACCGTGCCATGCTGCACAATTGATCACCTGCATAGCTCGCGGCCTTAGTCTTCGGCATTCAGTGACGACCTGATCGTACGGCCAGTAGGAAGGTGTCCTTCCAGCTGCGTGCACGCTTCTGACGCAATGCGCGTCACAAACTGCCTCGGATTGGCTGCTGGCACTCTCGAGGCTATGCCTACACAGCCTCGTGCTAATGGGCAGTCAAGAGGGACCATGCACCTTCTCAGGACAGCTCCCAACCCCCTCCCACCCAAATAAAGAAAAACACTCCGACTCCTCTCCCCCAGCGTACACAGATGGGACTCATCGGCAACGCGGCGCAGCTCATGTGCACCTGCATCGGCACCTTCCGTGGCGGCAAGAAGAAGATGGCGTCCAGGGACCAAGTGGAGAGCAAGATGGACGAGATCCTCCGCCGCAAGCGCGCCCGCGAGGAGGCCGCCTCCTCCGACGCCGCCATGCGGAACACAGCCTGACAACTAGTTACGGTGCTGAACAAGCACCAACTCCCACCCCGAGATCCAGATCTCACACTAGTACCCATCCAGAGAGGCACCCCCCTCGGCAACCCTCTCGGCATGAGAGGAGAGGCAGAGAGAGGAATCGTAATCGACGGGTTTGCTGAGATTCTAGAAGACGGGAGACCCCCACTGGAGGTGGCAAGAGACTACACCCCTCCCCTCCGTATCCACCGAGAGACATCGCGAGTCACGAACGAACAGCGCAAGGAGATGTTGGGAAGAGTCCTCTCTCAGATGCTACAAGGCAGACGCGTGGGGCTTGTGTGCGCATATGCGCCCCCTTAGCTTGCCACGGGGACGTTATCGCTGCCAAACTAGTGCGCATGTACTGTGACATCGCTAGCCCATAAAAATTGCTAACTCTGCTAAAAGAAAAACACCCTTTGGAAACGTCAAACGAAAAACGGCGTAGTGTGTGTAGCACCGCTGCCAATGACTGCCGGGGCGTCACACTGACAGCGAGAAGGAACTCACCAGTCCGAGAAGGATCAACTGGAAAGCTGAACCCTGGGCTTAGACAGAACGGGCGTGGCAGACTCCAGGGGAGGCCACGCTCTACCCGGGGCGCTAAGGAGGGAAATCGAAA